AATACAGAACCGTTGATTCAACCATGGTTTCACACTGACATTAGAAGAGTGCAGCCACATCTAAGAAAATAACAATAAAAGAGAATAGTTTTTATCGTACCCATTTTCCTGCTCAGCGTTGAATTAGTAGTAAAGGAGGGTATGGGGTTAAATACCACCAATATATTAAAAAAAACTGACAAGCGCCGCAGGCGAAAATTTTTAATAAAAAATCGCATTATTTATCGAAGTATTGATTTTTATGGAAAAAGCGCCGCAGCCGAAAATTTGTAATAAAAAATCGCGGGATTTTTTATTAAAAATTTTCATTATTTATGAAGTATTGATTTTTATGGAAAAAGCGCCGCAGGCGAAAATTTGTAATAAAAAATCGCGCGATTTTTTATTAAAAATTTTCATTATTTATGGAAGTATTGATTTTTATGGAAAAAGCGCCGCAGGCGAAAATTTTTAATAAAAAATCGCGCGATTTTTTATTAAAAATATTCATTATTTATCGAAGTATTGATTTTTATGGCAAAGGCGCCGCAGGCGAAAATTTTTAATAAATCGCGCGATTTTTTATTAAAAATTTTTATTATTTATCGAAGTATTGATTTTTATGGAAAAAGCGCTGCAGGCGAAAATTTTTAATAAAAAATCGCGCGGTTTTTTATTAAAAATTTTCATTATTTACCGAAGTACTGATTTTTATGGAAAAAGCGCCGCAGCCGAAAATTTGTAATAAAAAATCGCGCGATTTTTTATTAAAAATATTCATTATTTATCGAAGTATTGATTTTTATGGCAAAGGCGCCGCAGGCGAAAATTTGTAATAAATCGCGCGATTTTTTATTAAAAATTTTTATTATTTATCGAAGTATTGATTTTTATGGAAAAAGCGCTGCAGGCGAAAATTTGTAATAAAAAATCGCGCGGTTTTTTATTAAAAATTTTCATTATTTATCGAAGTACTGATTTTTATGGAAAAAGCGCCGTAGCCGAAAATTTGTAATAAAAAATCGCGCGATTTTTTATTAAAAATTTTCATTATTTATCAAATTAACGATGTACGTTTTCTACATTTGTGTACTTTGAACTACAATAACACCAGTAAATATTATTTCCACCCGAAAAAAATAATACCGTTATGATCAGGAGTAAGACCCCTATCGATCCTAATATTATTATTTTTAATAAGAGCAATATATGTACGTATTGTACACTTATACTTCCTAATTATACACACTTATTTGTGTATTTTTTTAACGTATGGTAGCATACATTTTGTGTTACTGTCAGCCATTGTTATTTCTGCTTGTTTGTGAAATGTGCAAACGTTTGTGAAGACATTTATAAACGCGTTTTACTTAATTAATTAATTAAGAATTGTATATTAAAGTGGAAATCTCAGGCCGGGGTTTTAATGCAACTATTTTGAGGAGGGTGTACATAAATAAAGTGTTTATTGTGTGAAATAGCGCCGAGAGGTTAGTTCAATTTACAAACTTTAACAACAAATAACTTAAAAACTAAAGGCCTGCTGCGGCTAAAAGTATATATATTTGCAATCAGGAGAACTCCCTCTATCGTTCCATAGCTACCTTAATGCGGAACTCCGGGGATGCCAAACTAAATTGCAGCCGCCTTTCCAGCAGTAGGTAGTTTTGATTGCCGTCTTTAATGTTCCGCTAATCGAGAGCATATACAATGTGCGTGCTTAAAAATTCAATTTTCTGCATGACAAAGCTACAACTAAACAGCACCTTCATCGTGTTTTCCAACCTTCCCTAGTAGTATAACGTATCGATGGCTAAGTGGAAGATCGACCTATCTCGGCAGCCAGTTCGAAAACGCCCTATCTCAGAAAATTTTTCAATAACGCTCTACTTAAGAATTTGGTTTAAGAACGGATTATCTCAGAATTCGGTTCAGAAACGCCCTATCTCAACTGCCGATGCAAAAATGCCCTATCTCAGCACAATTTCAATGTATTTTCGTTTGAGATAGGTCGCTTTTGAATCGAATTCTGAGATAAGGAGTTTTTCAATAAAATTCTGTAATATGGCGTTCTTCAATCAAATTCCAAAGTAGGGCGCACTTGAAAAGTTTTCTGAGATAGGGCGCCTTCGAACTGAATGCCCTATTGCAGGTCACCATGGTCCTGGGTCCCCCCAGTGGGATGGCCAGACGCTGTTCGCTGAGTGGCAAGCCCACTACAGGAAGGCCCAGGATTTCCGGTGTTTGCCGTGCAGGCCTCCGTCCAGTGCTATGTTTGGGCGTAGCACTGGCCTTTGGACTTCTCGGGCCAGGGGGTGCCTTGGTCCCACTGCTGGTTGGTGCGGGTGCCACTGATATCTGCATCCACATGGGGCTACTTTTGACTAGGCCCGGTGGTACCGTGGCTTTGCTTTGTGCAGTTTGTGACTCCTTTCGGCCTTTGTTTGGGAGCGCCGGACTCCCGTAGTGGAGTTGAAGTTTTAAGGTTTCGTGTTGTTAATTTGTCCATATTTTGTCCCACGAGATGCGGAGAAAAGGAACGTCCGCCCGGACAGAGATCCGCTGTACCCGGGTAAGGCTAGTTGGCTCCGAAGGTCTCCCGGTATCCGGAGCATTCCGTTGGCGACTGGGCTTGGTGAAGGGCCCCCATCCAGCTGATCCTCGGCACGGGTCGTATGACACCTTGATCCGGCCCTGCAAAGAGAAGAGAGTGGAGAACTGGCAAGGAGTTTGGTCAGAAAGGGAAATTATTATTATTACGCCTATTAAGGCGTAGGGATTAAGGAGGGGTCCCCGCTCGAATTAGCCGCCAGGGCGTTACCAGGTGTCACCACGGAGGGGCCCCTTATACTAGGGGGGGTGCTAATCGCAATGCATTTAAAAACCTACGAGTCGACGTTTTGGGATGTCGCGTGTGTTCAAGTCGATCAGCCCCATCAAAGACACCCCAAAACGGTGCAACAACTACTCACTTGCATGTTTTTACTAGTTTTGTGTTCAATAACTTTTTCTGCTAGTTTTCTCTATTTCTCAGTTTCACGTTCTATTTTGCTAAATTTCTTTATTAAAAAAGCATGAATAAATTATTGCATTTTTGAGATTGCAATTAAAATGTTTGATTGAATGAGTGATTTGATTGCAATCACAATCATTGCAATCAAATGTGCTTACAATTAAATTTATTGCAGTTTTTACAATCAGAAAAATGCAATAAATTTTGATTGTAATCCTATTAGTGCATAATCATTGATTGCTAAAAAAAATTGATTGCAAATTTTTAGAGCTCCGCCAGATATTGATAGGTAGCCGTTTGCTTTCGAGCATAAATTATCAATTCCATTATATATACAATAGAGACTCCCTCTGATGATTAGAGGGCGAAATCCATCAAATGTTGTTCGCTTATGGGTCTACATCTGTTTCGTATTTTTATGCTCAGGGCTGGCATAGAAACCGAGCTTCAATTTGTTTGGTTATAAAAGTGCTTTTAGAACAATAGCACATATTTGACTGGCTTTCATAGCAATTTTTGAAAATAGCCATAGTCAAAATAGTAAAACTTAAAGATTTTTTTTTTCCAAATTTACCGGATGGAAACCCCAACAATAGATTATTATTAGGGCAACCTAAAATATGCTTCTAAAAATTTATTTTATGCGCTTAAAATAAGCCAATAAATTCTAAATAAATTGTGCACAAAATGGCTTTAAAATCATTATAAGCCATAAGATATGTTTTAAATTTCGTTTATGAACGCACAAGTATACCCAGAAATGCCTGTAACTTTATTTGGATCACCTAAAATGTTCAAAATTTCATAAAAGTGCACATATATATTTATCTTTAATAATTCATTATTATTCAATTTGTTTTTAAAACATATGTATGAAAGTACATGGAATCTAATTCACAAATTGTTTCACATAGAATTCATACTGTGTATGTTTGTATATACATATGTACCCTGCAGCGGAAAGTACTAGTCGGGGTTTCGGGAGTCGAATACCGGTACATCGCAAATCTACCACCCATGCTTACCGCTGTCCCATTTAACATGGAGTTGTCCTAGGAGGTGACAATTGACTCCCGCTGCGTAACTTTGCCCTAGTACTTGTAGTAGTAACAAGTAGCCTGTAACCGAACCACGTTTTCTATCTCGCTCTCTATCTCGTAACCTGGTACTAGTAACAATAAAGGCTTCCATAGCAAAACACATTTACTTTCGTTTGATGAACTCCCTGTTAATTGCTTGCCAAACAAAATTATAACGGCGTGCCATGGCGGGTCAGTGGCGGGACAACTCATCTGTCAAGATCGAAACTTATAAATAGTATTAACCTTATCGCACATTAAAAAACACTATATAAAGACGATATGATCGAGCACTTTGATATTTATTTCATTTGCGACACAGTGTTACTATATTGTTATTATTTCAGAAATTTCTATTAGTTCTAAACGTAAAAACGCAACGCAAAGTATCCGAAAATATGCATTTACTGCAAAATATGCTGAAATATGCATTTATTGCAAAATATGCTAAAATATGCTCTAAGAAATATAACTCAAACCTTATATTTTTTGGAAAAACGTTTAAGCATTTCATCAGTGTGTTGCTAGCATGCCTGACAAAAAACATGCCCGAACATATTTTGGGTTGCCGCAATATTTATTTTGAAACCAGATTCAATTTTGAAAATTGGATGAAAAACAGATGGAGGATTCAGATACTATGAGAAACATATTTGATTTTTTTGTAACATTGTGTTATCATTACAATTCCCTTTCCGTTTTTACATATTACATTGAACAGCAAATATGCAGCTATGTATAGACATACATTGAGCATTTATATTACCATAGCTGTACCCGTACTTTATTCTGAACCTTAATCTTAGAAAGAGACGGTGCACTTCTGTTCGCACTTGGCAACATCTTTTCGAGACGATTTTGTAATTCAAAACATAAAAATTTTACCACATATACTCTTTGGTATAAATTATAAAAAGAAAAAAACTCACTCTTTGAACATAAGGTACAGGTATTTGGCCGATTTGTCCTTGCTGATTTCTTGCTGTCCACCACTGATCCTCATCTTTGCGGATTACAGTCAAGATTTCCCCACGTCTGAATGGTAGATCATCCTGATCCTAGTCATTAACGGGCATTATTAAACAAATGAAGCAGTCATGAAATTTAATCATTAAATAACCGTTTCTACTTACACTTCCCTCAAAGTCGAACCTCCCTATAACTTTTTCAGACTTCTTTGGAGCAGGGCGCCGTAGAGGAGTGGTGTCAAGATAATGTAACGTATAAAAAGTTAACAATTTTGGTAAATTTTCGAATAATTGATCACCTATTCGATAGAATATTTGTTCCTGTTGCTGTATCTTATTTATTATATAGTTACTAACTTTGGTGTCTTCTCTAGAAATAATAAGAGCAAATACTTGGTCATAAATAACTGAAGTGTCATAAATACCAAAATACACAATCGTTTTACATATAACCTACACAAGCAGATTACTCTCAACATAAAACTGATTTTTATTTTCAAATTACGTTGTCTAAAGAGACCAAACAAGTGCAAATATACACAGCATCAGTTTTAATTGAAACACTGTGTTGTAGGGCATACACTTTTTTCGTTTAGTTAAGAATTTATGATTAATAGCACACGCACCTTACACATAATACATAATCACCTGCGATAGAGTTACTATCGCGTACTAGAAACACACCTCGTTCACGCTCGCTCATAAGGACTTCGGTGGCATCCTGACGAGACATCGGTCCAAAATACCAACTGAAAGATATTAATAATTGGAATATTTTTAATTTTCATAAATACTGTGGTAAAAATTAAAGTTTTATCATCTTTTATTTTATTTTTTTTTTTATATTTGAGAATTTAAACGAACTTATACTTTATTGTGTAAAAATATAGCTGAGTTATGCAGGAAATCGTTTAATAGCGGTATGAATGTTAGGTTAGCTTGGTTGATCCATAAGTTCTCACATACATTATTAGCTCATCCTTAGTGTTACCAAAAGAGGTGGAGGTAAAGAGGTAGCGAGTTTTAATAACACGGCGCTACAAAACAGCGTAGGTTGGAGTACAACATGAATATAGGTTTGTTGTTGTTGTTACAGTTCCTCAACCCTAATTTTTTTATTGAAACCCCGTTATTTTCATACCTAATACACTTATCTATTAACATCTTGACTATTTTTTCTCCGATATTAAAAGTCTTACATGTTTTTAAAAGGGAATTTATAAACCATTAAAACTATGTATAACAGTATTTTGCTAGACTTAGTTTGTTGGGAGTTTTTATCGGGAAACCTTTAAAAACTCCCTGTACAATCTGGCAGCCTTATTGTTATTTTGAGCACTAAAGGGAATGGACATTTTCCAAGGAATCTCCCGCTATTCTCTTCACCAATCTCTGGCTTTGCTTGCAGCCGCTGCTGTATTGTAATATATAATATATTCTTAAGTTTAGTCAGCATCAAACTGTCTAGTAGAGTAGAATTGTCGCGCAAATAAAACTGCTGTAATTTAAAATCAAGAACCTCGTTTTACTATAGTGGAAACTACACATTTAATGGTGGCCCATGAGGGGAATATTCCCTTAAAATTTGATTAGTACAGTAAGGAAGAACAATTAACGCTACTAGGTAACATTTTGTCTCCCGCTAAGACATGCTCGAAAGTTGCATCCGCATTTTGTACGATTGACTCCGCAATCTTATCGCCGTGCATTGTGCCCCCGCCCCTCAGCAAGTCTCTATGCATCCGCTTTGTGCAAATTGGCGGTTCGACTAATTCCTGCTCTCAGCATTGTGCTCCATCGGCGCTACCTGCCGCTCAGCATTCTTGAAGGTCAACTCAAGGTTCTCGCGCTGTCGCTTCACATATACAAGCCCAGGCCTCAGTTCACCAGAGACAGCGATTATCAACTACACCACGCAAGAGTGAAATAGGTGTATGGGTGCATTTAATTTGAGTCTTAATTTTAGAATATCGCTGAGTGTCACTCAAAATAAGATGAGTGAGTCCATTGAAGCACTAATTAAGCTACAGCTGAATCGATTCGCAGCACTTGAAAAGATTCTGGCAAATTTTAAGAAAGATTCAACTGCACGTAAGACAAAACCATATTTTCAACAACGGCTGTCGCGGATCGATGATCTTAACAGTGAGTTTTGTACCACTCACAAATTGATTGTTTGTTCCGATATCGCCGAAGACGATGGATATTTCCGTGAGGATGTAGCATCTCAATTTGAAGAGATGCATCTCGATTTGTTTTGTTTGCTGACTCAACGCCAGGAAGAGATGTATCCCCGTACAATTCCGCCGGATGAACCAGCAGCCGTCGAATCTTCAAAATTGAAATACATCCTCTATTAAGCAGCCACGATTGCCAGTTCCCTCGTTCTTTGGAAGATTCACTGAATGGCCCAGCTTCCATGACTCTTTCAATCGACTCATTCACCAAAATATTAAGTTGAACTCAATACAAAAATTTCACTATTTAAAACAAGCACTTCCAGCCGACCGAGATGTCGATATACACCAAATGCTTTTAACTGAGGTAAATTATGATACTGCTTGGGACTTGTTGCTCAAGCGTTACAACAATCCGCGAATCCTGTTTTCGCAGCATATGAACACGCTTTATAATTTACCCCAGTTATATAAAGAGAAATCTGATAACATCAAATCAATGCTGAACGTGGCAAATGTCTGCGTAAATGAATTTAAACGCCTAAAAATTCCAATCGGCGGATGTGACCACTGGGTTGCTCATTATCTTGCGACCAAGCTGCCAACCGACACGCATACCGCATGGGAGCGACATCTTGGAAGTAAAACCGATATACCAACATTCGGTGAGCTGGAAGCGTTTTTAAACACTCGTATTTTCACAATCGATGCAATCGAAAATCGCAGCATGACCTTTACTGCTTCATCTGCAGTTAAATCTCCAAAGGATACAAAACATCAAACCCCTTTCAATTATAACAACTCAAAACCCATTCAGAGATCGATTGTTAATGTTAAAAGTTTTCAAGCTGCTCCAAACGTCAACACCGCTCAAGTTGAATCTTGCGCTTTATGCGGTCAAGCACATATTATACGCCGCTGTCCAACCTTTCTCTCAAAAGATTGCTATGAGAGGAAGGCAATCGTTGATAAGGCAAAGCTGTGTCTTAATTGCTTAAGTAAGGCTCATGCACTTTCTAAGTGCACTAGCATCAAAAATTGCCTCCAGTGTGGCCAACGTCACCACACTTTACTGCATTTTCCGTTCGCTACAAAGACTACTCCTGCAAATAACGCTCTTACGCCATCAACTCAACGCGTTTTATCCAATTTCAGCAACGTTTCAGCACCTCCACAAGAACAATCAGTTCCAATTTCTTCAAACACACCTCTTTCGACAGCAGTTTTAGAGGCAAGGCGCTTCACTCGCGCTCATTCTACGCTAGCGGCAAATTCAACACAATTGGGTGTCGATAGGATCCCCGTACAGGGGCCGAGACACATACTTCTTGCCACGGCGTCAGTAGTGCTGTGCAACGAAATCACGAATCGATCGGCGATAGTACACGCTTTGATCGATCAAGGATCCGAAGGAACGCTTATTACAGAAAATGCTGTTCAGCAATTAGGCCTGCAGCGTCATCCCACCGCTGCAGATATATGCGGAGTAGGCCCAAACCTATTTAGCCAATCACGATCATTGGTTAGCTGCACTCTTCGTTCATGCCACGATGAACACTTCGCCGCTCATATTGAGTCTGCTTATGTTCTGAAGCAACTCACAGCACCCCTGCCCAGCCAGGAAATTGTGCCACAAGATATGGCACATCTACGAGGACTCGCTCTCGCCGATCCCAAATACTACCAGCCGAAAAGAATTGACCTCATTATCGGCGCAGACATGATCGCCCAAATATTGGAGCCGGAAACCCGCATTGGCCATGTTAACCAACCTATTGCCCAAAAAACTCATTTGGGATGGATCCTGTCGGGACGAATAAATTCTGACACGCCTTCTATTGTCACTATTCGCTGCCACCACAGCAATCTTGAGCTTGAAGGGCTTGTGCGAAAATTCTTTGAGAACGAACATGTGCCCACTTCTGTACCAATGTCCGCTCAAGACCAGTGGTGCGAAGATTTTTTCCGTAGCACTTACACTCGACAAGCAAATGGTAAATATCTGGTTCGTTTGCCTCTGAAGTCATTATATGATCCTAACCAAACTATAGGCAAGTCGAAACAAATTGCACTGAACAGATTTCATCAGCTAGAACGTCGACTCCAGCGTAATGCCGATCTCCGTGAGCAATATGAGGATGGAATTGAGGACTATTTTCGCCTGAACCAAATTCGCCCAGCTATGACAACGGAGGAACAGCACTGCTCAACTACCAAATGTAACCAGCTAACCGTAACATCCTGTGTACTGCCGCATCACGCGGTGGTGAAAGAAACGAGTGTCACTACCAAATTACGCATTGTCTACGATGCGTCCTCGAAAACGTCAAATGGACGTTCATTGAATGATTTACTATGCACTGGCCCACCATTACAAAACGACCTTTCGGCTGTCATCCTGAAGTGGCGACTGCATAGATACGTCTTCTTGGCCGATATACAAAAAATGTATCGATGTATCGACATGAACCTAGAGGATTCAAATTATCAACGCATATTGTGGCGCAACAAAGATGGACATGTTTGCGAATACTGTCTCACGACGGTGACCTTTGGAACAGCGTCCGCGCCGTACACTGCAATTAGAGTTCTTCATCAGCTCGCGCACGATGAAAAACACCGATTCCCCCTCGCTGAGAATATTTTGCTTCACGAGATGTACGTTGACGATGTACTAAGCGGAAGTGATTCAATTGCTAATGCAAGACTGTTGCGTGATCAACTGATAGCGGCGTTAAAGTCAGCTGGCATGGAACTCAGAAAATGGTCCAGTAACACTCCTGAACTTTTGCACTCTATTCCATACGAGCATCAATCGTATGATCCAGCACAACAACTCAACACTAACGAGACGATCAAAACGCTTGGCCTGCATTGGCAGCCGAATCTCGACTCTTTCACTTTCTCAGTCAAATTTGCTATCAACTCCAGCGCAACAAAAAGATCGGTTCTGTCAACCATTGCCCGTTTGTTCGATCCCCTTGGATTTCTTACCCCGATTACTGTAGCAGCGAAGGTAATCCTAAAGGAGATTTGGGCAACGAAAATTAAACGTGATGATGATCATTATGTAGCTTTAGGTTGGGATGAAGAATTGCCTCCGACTATCAATGCAAACTGGCAAAGGTTTGTTACTGAATTGCCACAGGTAAAGGCGATCTCTGTTCCACGCTGGTTACATTACTCGCCGCAACAACAACTTCAGTCGGTAGAACTACATGCATTCTGTGATGGCTCCTCCTCGGCATATGCTGCAGCGGTATATTTACGCTTGCACTACAGCAAGAAGGACATTTACACACACCTAGTCGCCGCTAAAAGCAGGGTCACGCCTATCGGCTCACTTACAATCCCTCGAGTGGAGTTATGCGGCGCTGTGCTGGCATTGGATCTCTCCAATTGGGTTCAGAACACCCTCAAGCCAGTGTATGGAAAACTGCCAGTCTACTTCTGGTCAGACGCAACAATTGTCCTTTATTGGATTCACGGTGATCTCAACAGATGGAAACTATATGTAGCAAATCGTATAAGCAAAATATTGTCGCACAGTACACCTAGTCAATGGAGGCATG